GGCATAGACAGAAAGTAACATAGAATTGGCCCTTTATCTCTTAGGGATTCCCTCATGCAGAGGGAATTTAAAGCTACCTGAATTAGCTGTGTTTGATTCCTTTGTGCCAAAAAATGGTGCCATAATGATACCAAGAATCAAGTCCCTTTTGTAAAGCTATATGCTAGGCATTCTATTCTGAGTATAAACACATGTAACAATGAAACCATTTCTAGTTCACTGATGGAGAACTAGCTCACAATTGTGTGAACTGCGAGGATTATACATCATGTGTCCCTCTCTATCGATTGGTGGAGAGAGGTGGGGCTGTATGGCAGGCAGCCCTTGCATCCAGTCATTGTCTAGGGATGAGGGTGGCAGCCATCTTGAGTTGCCCATCATGTGAGCAGGCCCCCCCCCTCCTTTTCCCCTGGCGGACTGTGCATCCGGGCTTCAGTGCCATGAGGACTACTGCCTCCCTCTGGGAAGCCAGCATTTTATTTTTAGTATAGTTTTCTTTTTCTTTCCTGTGTATTTCACAGATTTTGTGGGCAATGCCGGATTTTGCAAAGTTACAGTTTTGGTAGGTCCCTATTGGGTGACCTGTGGCTGGAGGTGTTTTCACTTTTCTGTTTTCCCTTCTCTCCTAACATGAATTCAGTAAACTTCAGTAGCCCACAAATGACCAAAGTCTGCAATGTGCTTGTCTGACTTGGGAAGCAGAGGGTGCATGGACCTTTTTTGGTTCCCGGGGGCTGGGGGGCCATGATGAGAGGCTGTGGCCAAGTAAGGACACAGTTGTTAGAAAGCTAGCTTTATTAACCAACCAGTGCAAGGGAGCTCATTGATTTTAAAAAAATGCTAACCAAAGAGGGAAAAAAGTGGTCAGTAGAGTTCTGGCTATATACCAGGGAGGCCAGTTGCAGCCGTTGGGTGCATGGAGGCAATGAGTGCAGTGTTTGATGCCTGGAGGACATGCCAGGACAGACCCATGTTGCAGAACACTTGGTGTCTATAATACTGACCTGGTTCACAGTGAAACAGTTCAAAATAGAACTCAGTTCTATTTCAATGGTTTTTGAACCATTCCAGGTGGCTTTAAACTGGTTTAACAGGCTTGGATGTCTGTCTGCTTCAGGTTTAAACCACATTTAAGCCATTCTAAGCGTTGTGTGTGTCCATGCCCTGAGAATCTTCTCAAAAGATGTTACTCTTTTGGAGAAGCTGTATCAGTTCTCAGTCTGTGAGCTTTCAATTGGGTGGCACTAATTTTTAAAATACATGGTTAAGAGCAAAATGAAGACCCAGTAGAAGGAGCCAAAGAAATTTATTTTTAAAATGTTAAGGAATTCATTGACAATGGAAAGTTTTCCGTAACCACCATTTTCTGATTCAGTATATTTAATGCTGGTAACCGACTGAAGTTTGTTTTGGTCTGAAAATGATGTCCTTCATAATAAGGGTCACTTGCAAAGTATCCTGTTTAGACTTTTCAAATGTTGTTTAGGCCTGATATCAGTAAGGCTGCTTAAAAGACCTGATGCTCCACAGCTGCTTGACACAGAAGGAGCTGAAGTAATTCATTGTCATTATGGTACAGTGACTTGGCCATGGGTACTGTGATAAAAGCAACTTAATTTAAGCATCCTCAGTGGTATCATATGTACTTTTGATGCTCTTTTTCCATAGGATAATAAGGAGCCTTTTTGGTTCAGACACAAAACTGGGAATCAGGAGATCTGAATTTTATTTGTACTTTTCTCACAAATGTACTCTGTGACCTTGAGCAAGTAACTTAATCTCCCTGTGGCTCAATTCTCCATCTGTAAAACCAGGATAATAGTATTTCATGATCTCATGGGTTTCTTGTGAGGTTAAATCCATTATTGTTTGTGAGGTGCTCAGATATGGTGATACAGTGCTGAGTGCTGTTGACATACGGTAAATAAAGAGTACTCCCTACATCACCACCAGCCCAATCTAGTAGTTAAGGTCTCTTGTACCACTCCAGCAGAAAACAAGCATTGTATCAACACCTAGAGATAGGATGCTGACAATGTTGTGAGATTTTGCAGTAATCACTGTAAAAAGACCAGAGGGGTGGGCAGTAGATCTCCTATCCCAGGTTGGTGAGCAGTGGGGTGTTGTAAGCGTGCAAAGGATGATGCGGCACATATATTCTTTCAGAATTCTGGGAGACGTTTTACCTGTCGGCAACCCAGGGTCTCTCCCAGCTCTCACTGGGTACTGTACGACCACACAAGCATAAATACATCTTTATGGCTCTACTTCATGGGACTTCCAACGTAGCCTTCATTCTCCTGTTTGTTTCATTGCATATACTGAAATCTTCCAGCACAGTATCTGCTGAAATGCCTTTGATCATTTACACTGAAGTTTTCAAGACATTTGTTTTGTGAATCCAAAGTGCAGAGTTTTGTCCAAATCTGTTTCAACCGTTGCCTAATTTTGCCTGCCATCCAATTTTGTTCAGAAGTGGTACAATTATTATTGTATCTTCAAAGGTCCTAAGCATGTCAGCATACGGCCCATGCTACTTGCACAGCCAAATAAGTGTCTATCCAATCTTACATATGGAAAAATGAGAGGCCCACTTTGGTTATTTTTATACTAAATATCATAGAAGTCTTTATAAAATTTGCAGTGAGGCGCACTTTTATACGTGTGTGTGTTTACAGACTAAAGATGAGAAATGGTAGTTTTCTTTGAAGAGTTAATGTCAGATGTTAAAAATTAATGGGACTTTTGACTTTATTGTAGCTGCACTGAGCATTTGTTTCTTTAACAGAAATGAACTATTTTATAGTAATGTAGGTCGCAGTGTTGAAAAATGTAGGTCAGAATGAAGGGGTTGTAGGTAGAATGCAAACTCCTCCACATGGATCTTTAAGATTATCCCTGTTTTGAAAGTAGTCAAAGAAGCTTACCTACCTGTTCAAGTAAGAGAAGCTTTTCCTTTTACTAAAATTAACAAAGGTACTCTTGCTGCTGATTTCATGGCTTAATTTATAGTACTGTGTGCTTGCACCTTGAGACCTGGCTTGTGAGAGACCTGATTTCTGCTTCTTCTGCTCATGGCATTTTGCATCAGTATTGAGGTGATGCAACATAAGGCGGAGGGAGAGGTGCAGTGTTTGTGTTCCAGTGCACCTGGTTAAAGAGTAGCATTGTTGGTCAGAATATGCTTTTTCTGTTTTTTCAGAATATGCTTTTTCTGGTTTTTTTTCTGCTTTTTTGTTGGTCAGAATATGCTTTTTCCTCAGCTTTTTCCTAAGTCATGTGCATGTGACTGCTTCCATGAGGGAGCTGGGTATTAACACTGTAAGAGAGCAGAAGAGGTAACTAGTGCCATGACAAAAGGATTTGGTGAATACTTTATGACTCCATTCAAACTGTTCTGTTAGTTAAAGCCACACTCAAGTAAGATACATTTGAGCTTTTTTGAGGATAAGCCAGAAACCCAGATGGTCAAGGCCCTCTGCCATAAATACAAGTGTTTTTAAGACTCATTTGAATGGAAGGTTTTGCTATAGAAGTTTTTTTTTTTTAAATGTCGTTTATTAAGTATTACAAATGGTTCTAAATTAGCTGCATCTTCACTAACCATTAACAACCACTTTTATGGCATGAATATCTACCAGTCAAATGCAAGCTTAACCATTGCTTGTATCATACACTAGTATAATACCGGGTTATATATTGATTGCAAAATCTGTCATTTTAACATATTTCAATGCTGATAGATAAAATGTTGTAGGCTCTTGAGTATGTGTATCACTGAGCACTGGTTAATGTATGATTATTTAAGTTCAACCCTTGGCATATTTAAAAAATAGTCAATTTGCAGAGATCTTGTAATCTAAGTTAAAGTGAAATATACAAATAAAAATTATCTTTGAATATATGTGTTGGGAATCAATGCAGTACCCCTGATTAATATAATTTCTGTCATCTAAAATGGTGTACTTATTGTGAGCCAAATCCTGAAATCCTTCTTGGTTTTTAATTGTTTTCTACTTAAGCAAAATTTTCATAGGTGCTCAGGATTTGGCCTATTTGTCTTTGCTATGAGTTTTATTTGAGGAAGGATTGAATTAAAATAGAGCAGCACCTTTGGCCTCATGCAGATAGTGTCAGCTTTGGGTGGGTGAGGCCAGGAGTTGGATGGACTGAAACAGATACACTCTTTAGAGTAACAATCAAGCTGTGCAGTGACTAATAGGAAGGAAGATTTTGGCTAAGTATGCTGCAAAACAAACTTGCTTTCATGAAATGTTCTATGATACCATTAATGCATAGTAAAAAAGACTTTTTCTAAAAAAAACCAACTATCTGAATTCTACAAAGCAAATTATGTAAGAATTCAGTTTACCTACCCGTCAGAAACTTTCAGAAGCATTGAAGGACCAAGTTGACCTAAACAGGCACAAGCTCCATTTAAGGCCAAGGGTTGTCTTAACAAATCATTGAGCTATCCAGTGTGCTGTACATCAGTCCAAATTCTGTCTTATGGATGTTTACACAGAACTACTCTTACATGACTACCAACCAAGGAGATAAAATACTTACCAATATTATTTAGTCACAAAACCATTAGGAGTTTCATAGCTGAACATCATTGAATATGAAGTTATTTTCTGTTGAATCTGATGCCTATCAGTAGTTACTGAGGTTGCAAATATCAAGTGTATGGTATAAAATAGATGATTCTTGTAATTTGATTGTTCTTAATGTTAAAGGCTTAATGGCAGTGTCTGACTTTTTAAAAAGTAGGCTCTTGAGGCGTAATCTTGCTGAAGTCCATATATCTGTTGCTGACTGTCTGAGAAATACTGCCATTGTTCTTTACTGTATTCTCTGGCATTGCAGTCTATTTCAGAAATTTAAAAAATCCAGCAAACTATTGTTCGGTGGAGATATTGAAACAGTAAATAAATATTGACAACACCTTTCAGAGGGAAAAAAATCTATTCTAAAAAGCAAATATCTTTGTTTTATAGGTATCTGGCCTTCTGAAGAGGTGCTAGCTTACTATTGCCTGAAGCACAATCAAATGTTCAGGTACAGAGCTGAACACAAAAGATACAATTCCAATCTGTTAGTTTTATTGTATCTGCATGGTAAAGATTGCTATGATTTAAGTTTTCAGATTAAATTTAAAATGTTCAAGGTGAAAGCATGTTGCTCTTAACAAAGAATTTTGAGCTGCCTTTGGGTACTAATAATGCACAGCAAGCTTTTTGCTATATGTCAAAGACTTTTGATTTCCACTCAAGGCATTTTATTTCACTTTGATTTTTGGGAAACAAAAGTGAAGCTCCGATCGATCAGTACTGATTGTGAAGGTCAGGAAAAATAAAAGACATTCTTTAAACTGACATCTATTGTGAAAGCAAGCAAAGTAATATCTGATAAGGTACATCCCATTTGTGTTATATGGCAATGGGTGTATTTGTACACCTACTTTTAATGCTCTTTTAGCATTTTTGAAGCATTCTACATTTTTATGTATGTATTTTTTAACCTTTCTGCAACAAGCCAAGCCAAGCATGCTGCAGGCATACATAAAAAATAAATAAAGCTATATATCCCTTTCCCTTCTCTGTGGGTGCCCAGGGCCCTGTACTCAGTAGGACACCTATGGTTCTATTGTTTTGAGTGAGGGAGAAGGATTTGGGCTATAGAAGTTTCCCTTCATCCCCCTGTGAACATGAGCTGCCTACAAAACTATGAACAACTTTCTGAACACGGCATGGAGGCAGGCTGAAGCAAATAGATCTGCCACTACTTTGATTCACCAGCCATTGATTCCTGACTTTATAAGGAGCTTCACCTTGCTTCTGCAGAAATAGACTGGAGCTTCTTAAATTTTATTTCTAGTGTCATTTGGAGGCTTCCTCTGACCCTTTCTCCCCACAGATATATACCCAATGCCCAACCCAGCTATTTGGTTTGGTTCAGTTCCCCGAGTTCCCCACAGCTGCTACTGTGGCTTCTACTAAGAAGTGCTACTGTGGGTGTGCATCATAGATCATTCTGCTCCATTTTTTTCCAAAATAAGTTCTATACAAGTCCCAAATTCTGGGCCTACAGAATCTGAAAACCCAAATATTCCATTAAAGCCAATGGCATTTTACTTAGTCATCACTTGATAGGATTAGGCCTCCTAAACAATCAACTCTGAGTACCTACATTTTTTCAAATTTTAGTTCTCATTTTGTAAAAGTCACCAAATACGTATTTGCTCAATAGACTGGTATGATTCCAAAAGAGCTGTTAATGCTTATCATGCATGTTTGAATAAGTGCTCTCATATATATGTGTGTACATATATTATGTATTTGCATGATTGGTTCCATAATACATTTTAAAAAAAACCCTGAGTGCTTGCTATATTTACTGCCTGGCTCGTAATTGCTATAAAGGAATAAATACCTATTAAATGCAAAATGTAGTTTATAAGTGTTTTTGTTAAACACCATACCTGTACCATTAAGAAAAGCCAAAACCTAAAGAAAAACAGAGAAAAAAACTGACAAAATAATGATGAGGAATTTATTTAAATCACAAGGTGCAAAGAAATTCAGAATTTAAATAGCAAATTTCTAAATTTCTTTAATTTCCTTAATTACATTTGGGTTTTTCTTTGGCTCCAAATTATGCCAGTCCATAAAAGGATGATATTTACTGCTCTCTCATAAAACTAGATTAGTAGACTTTTTGCTAGTAAAGTGCACAATGTTTGAGAGAAATCCATCCCATCCCCAGATTGAGTGTCAGATTATACAGATTATAGAGATACAGCCTAGTCCATAAAACTCTGCTGGGGTAGTGGACTTATTTTTTAAACAGTGCTTACATTGATGTCTGTGAAAAATATTTTCCTGGAAAAAACATAATTGGAAATTACTTTAATGTGTTTGCAAAACACATTGAATTTTCTTTTTTTTTTCCCACCTCAATTTCTGTTTAGTTAAAAAAAAATCTGTCAAAAACATTTCCATGGAAAGTTTTCTGTCTGCTCTAATCATTACTTCCTTCAATGCTGGCTAATGCAGTGTCACCTCCCTATCCCTTACTGGAGTTGGAACATGCCATGGAATTGGAGATGGCCCCAATGCAAGCCTTTTTTCGATGGCTCCACCTACTCCGTTCCCATTATGCAGACTATCTATGCAAAGTACATTTCCTATACGTGGATAACACGTGTGTTATTAACACCTATGCACAATAGGCTAAGTTAAGAACAGCATGTCGGATTAGACATTCAGCCTTAATGCTGAGTTCTATTCCTTTCTGTATTGAGAATAGACTCTTGACATTACCTTACCTTAGTTTTCAATGGTTTAACTATATGTTGTTACAGTGTTGCTTATAACAGCACTGCTATATTGTTTGTGGGTCACTCACAATTTTAAGTGCTAATTGAGGGAACCGAATGCTTCCTGTGTAATTATTTTGTGTAAGGCATGCAGCTTGTTTTAAAATGTATTTTAATTTATTAATATATAAAGTATAGATACAGCTGTGTGGACAGATGCATAAATAATATTAATTTCTCCATTTACTTCTTTAACTGTTTTTGCAAGAATGAATGTGGATTAACATTGTTATCCTTTCCTAACAATTATCTTTCGCTACTCTAGCTAGTTTAGTTCTAAAAGACAGCGCCATTGACAAGGGGAAAAAAGGGAACCTTCTCAGATTTTTCAGCTCAGCGGTGGTAATGTTGCACTGAACACTAATGAGGGAACCCCCACTGATTTGCCTGCTTTGTGACTTTTCTATTTCATAATTATTTTTAAAACGCAAAACGACATGAGGTAGCCTAGTCATGTCTCTACAACTTCCTGGTAGCTCAGTTCTTACTGCAGATGGCAATTTGTTCTTGTAACATATATGTCTTTCTGACCATTTTCATCTAATTTGTATGGGTTCTACCATTTCCTTTCTCTCTTTCAGGGACCTTGCTGTGTGTGAGCTAGGGGGTGGCATGACATGCTTGGCTGGGCTCATGGTAGGTCTTTTCTCAATTCCAATCCCTTTCAGAGAGAGGAACAAAAGAAAAAATGTTCCAGTGCCTCCAACTGCTGGGTCAGAGAACTGTCAACAGCATCAGCTGCGGTCAAGCTGCAGAGTCTTGAGAGACCTTCTAGATTGACTTGCTTTCGTATCATATTGATTTTATGGTTGCCTCGATGAGCAGAAACATTTTACCTCAGTGTAGTCAATATCTCTTGTTGTGACATTCCAGGCCACGTACGGTCTGTCTTTCATTGCCATAGCTGAAGCATTTTTTTTTTCAGATTACAGTCCCATTTGCTAAGATACAGGAATAGCCTGGCGAATCACAGTTGGAGCACCATGATATAGCTGCTAATGTTTTGCCTGCATTATTACACCAACAAACATGATCCAGAGCTCTCGGTAATTAGATTCTTTTGAATTAGATTGGCCATTCAGGAGCGTCGTTCACCATTCTCTGGGTTCTGAGTCATGTATTCAGGAGATATTATGTAGCAGTGCAGTGCATTAGACAAGTTTTTATGTCTCTACAAATAAAAGCATATTGTTACACTGATTGGCATTTGACAAACCTGTCGCTCTTATACAATGTGTCGAGGTTACAGCCCAATGTGCGAGCATGTCAAAGCTCACAAAAAAATTACCCTTACAAAGCCATCTGCCTGCAATGCAAAGTTATATGAAGGGCATCAGGCAGTCAGACAGAAGCAAGCTGAAAGGCAGAGTGACAGCCTTGTATGATGGCTCTACTAGATAAACAGAAGCCCGCAAATGAAAGCCTCTCAGAATACCATCATCCGCTGTCACAATGCAATTACGGAACAGAATGATAGCAAGATAGAGGCTCCCGCAAATGGAATGATAAAAGTATTGACTGATTTGATTGAATGATTAAAATAATGCAGACATAAAATGAAAAAAGATTGAAGATTGTTACAGAGAAATAGGTGAGGAAGCATGATACTGAAGGCTTGTCACTCCTGTCTTCACTTCCACACAGACAAGCATATTTGCTCATTGTTTGCTGTGCTCTTTTTTTCAGGTTGCTATTTCTGCAGATGTCAAAGAAGTTCTGTTAACTGATGGAAATGAAAAGGCCATCAAAAGTATCCTTATTCAGATAGAAAACTGGTTTGTTGTGCTCATTCCTTTTTTACTGGCTGAGTAACAATTGATATAAAGAAAGACAGCATGGGGTATATTAAAAAAAGTCTCCTCCATAAGTAATTAAAAAATGGAAAGATAGAATTTCTTGAACAGAGCTACAATTTTCCCTGTAATAAATTCCATACTTTCTTCTTGGATTAAAAAAGTATATGTTGGTTACAAGAAAGCAGCAAGGTACAGTGATAAATATTTGGCTAATGGTTAAGTGCTGAGAGATTCCATTTTTATATGTTTTATGTTATAGGAAGCACATCAGCAAACCAAATAATTAACTCCCCCTTGACATTTATTCTTTATACTAGTGAAACTAGATCTTTTTTATACCAAGTCTGCTTTCAGATATTAATCTTTTATATTATATTATACACAATACACATGTACTTCCTAGTGCTCACAGTGTATATTATTAAATGCCTGGTACTGTGATTACTGTTAACTTACACCTGCCTATAAATTATCCATTTATTGTATTTAATCGTTATCAGTTTTGAATTATTTCTTCTAACATTGGGGTATAAAACTAGTCTCTTCCGTGTTCTATTTTATTTTATTTCTCATATTATTATGTTAGAATAAATTGCTGTTATGCCATATGAATGTGTACACACAGTTCTGAAACTGAAATGTATTTTGGTTAAGCAAGAGAGTGAGTGAACATAATTTACGGCAGTAAATATCTACAATAGCACAAGAACTGATATTTTTAGTGACTGTTAGTAGCTGTTGGAAATTGAGAGAAAAAATGGAAGAAGGTATCTGTTTACTTCTGTTCCTTAGTAATTTTTAAATTTGCATTTTAAGGCAGACTACTTGTTCAGTTTTGACTACTGTAGCATCGGAATTATTTTGATTTATGATTTATATATATGTGAATACAAGCATATTGTGTACTTACTTTTTCATTAAGTTAACCTTTATTTAAAATGCGAAAAGTGAAATTACATAAAACTGTTAAAACAAGAGACATGGTACTGCAAGAATATTAGTTCACAGCCCACTTATAATCTTAGAGGTAACACTGCCAGCTATAATCACCTAAAATACTTTAACAATTTCATGGAGAAAAGTAGCCAATCACAAATCATATACTTCAGTCTTGAAAAAAGCCCCATGAATCTCTAAAAGACACAGATTTAAGTCATGACTAATATGTCTTTATGAATGAGTTTAATGCTTCAGTATTGTATTATTTGGTGTAGTTTAATGTAACATACTATACTATATCAATTATATTCATATGACATTGTGGGGGGATATTTACAAAAATAATCTCCCCCCATCCCACAGTGGGCAGCGGGGGTAGGAGATGTACAAAATCAAAATAGCAAAATAAAGTGATGTTTGATAAAGGATGCTTGTTTAACAAAAATGTCCCTTTCCCCACACAAAGTTTCATGTGGGTATAGTAATCACCAAGTTGGTAAACACCTTGTTTAAGAGATTAAATAAACACATCTGAACTTCTACCAAATTGCCAAAGTTCTTCTAACTCAGGGGTATGAACTAATATGTGCTAAAATTATTCATCCATTGTATTAAACAATTAAAGTGGTTTTGTTCCTCAAAAAGAGAACTGTTAACATCACCCAATTAAGTCGCTTATGTTTCCATAATTTATTTAGGAAATATTTCACATTTCCTAAAATCATTCAAGAGGTTGTAGTCTGTATTCAGTTTATTAGTCCTGAGAAGTGACTGATGAAAGACTGCCACAAGAATTTATTTCTTTTTTTTCTTAACATTTGGTACTCTGAAACTCAGGATTCAAAGTGCTTTTATTGTGCTAGATTTACAATGGGTTTAATATAGCAGGATGCCAAAGTGCAGTACTCTAAAAACTTTACAGTGCAGGTGGAATGCATTCTTAAAAGTGTGCAATAAAATTTATGTTGTATTTTATGTATTTTATGGACTTCACTGATAGTTTTATGATCTGTCTTATGGTAATTTTCCTTTTGCATTCTTTCCATTAGTTACTAGATATAATACAATTTTAGATCTGTTACAGCCACACTGACCTCACTGAAATCAGGGGCCTTCTGTTTCTGCAAATGAGAATAGAATCTGCCCCAAAATGTCCAAAATAATAGAAGTAACAATTCATTTCTACCTACTTTTACTTTTTTATTCACCTGTTTTAATAGTTTTGTTGACTGAATCACATGAAAATGGCTAAAATAGTGTTTTCTATTTTGGATTCTGCTCTACAGAAATAATGTCTAGTATTCTGCTTTATTGTTTAGGTATTATGGATTAAATAACCTTGTTTAAAAATTACTGTTTACATCTTCCCTTTAAATTTCTTAGGAAACTTAAATTATATGCCAGTCATACTATAATATCCAAAAATTACTTTCCAAAAACTAAAAATAGTTGTCAATAAAAAAAGGGGAAAAAATCACTGTCAGAAGCCAGGAAATCACCAAGCAAGCCTGCTAATTATTCTTAATGGGCAAGATGAGCACATTAAGAAACAAATGAATACATCAGTGAAATGTAATTGAAAATCGACCTGGCAATAGTGCATTGCATCTGAGAATCTGCCTTTGTATCATCATCATCATCATAATTGTTGTTGTTGTTGTTTTCACTATTCAGTGAGATTAACAAATGGCCTTGCTTTGTCAAGTCTTAAGCTTTCGAGGATCTGATTTTACCTTAATTTTTACACCATTTATCGTATTTTCCAAACTGTTTAATTCTATTTTTGGCTGTTAGATAAGGAAATCACTCCGTATGTTGTAAATGCTAATATGAAGGTAGTATATTGAAATATTACATGACTTGCTTAACATACCAACCACTTGTTTTAACTTTAATTTCAAATCTCTCTTCACTGTGCATTTAATTTGAAGCATTAACTAGTTTTATATAAAACATTCATATTTGATAGTGAATACTGATCCTATGATGCAGGGGGTCAAGAGATTTTAAAATGCTGAAGATGGTTCATTTAAAAAAAAGTGTCACCCTGTCCTTGATTCAGATCATTGTGCTCATCACAGGTAATCATAGATAAACTGAGTAATAGATCATATAGCATATGCTGCAATACCTAGGAGTAAACTAGTGAAGTAAAGATTGGTTTATCAGCTTAAATCAATTTATCACTGATTTTGTATGGATGTGTTTAAGTGATTCTGATTATTTTGATAGCAACACAATAAAAGGAGAAGGTCAGCATTTTACAAGAAACTTAAAGAGATTAAGTAGATCACTTAAATGGAAATCTCTCCACACTTTGGGGTAATATAGATCCAGATCTGTGTTTTGCTGATGCGTTACTTCTATCTGATGGATCTTGTCCAGAACTTCTAATCTCCAAAATATCCTAAAACACAAAAAACATTCCAAACAAAATCAAAGTTTTCAGGTCAGGTCCATTTCTAATAAAAATGGCCATATAATTCATTACTTTATGTCTTAAGTCTGTTTCACATGCACCATAAATTGGCAACTAACTTCCACCAGAAAGCATCAGTAATACAATGTGCTGAGACAATACCTTACAATTGCAATTGAAATGCAGTGGAATGTGTGGATCTCTCAACAGCCATGGGAAATCCAGGTTATAAAGGTCAGATGTTACCTTATTGCCTGAAGATATGGGTTTATAAATTATTTAGAATATATAGTGTTAAAATTTTTGCTAAAATTGTAAACAGATTTCCTGAATTAAGTATATAAAGTTACTTCACTCTAGCTAATTTATTTACAGTGTTACCTCTACTAACAAAATAATATATTTTGCTTATGAGAGTAGTCATGTTCTCCTTCTGCTCCATGGATATATAGTGTACATTCTGATATTTCATTGGATGTGGTAGAAATGCTTTACAAGGTGCATCTTGAGGGTAGGGAAATCAAGTTAAAATAGTCTTTTATAATTTTCAGTTGCACGTAATAAATGTCAATGGTCTTTTCTTCTACATTGTTAACGTAGAAGATTTTGCTAAAATTTTGTGCACTAGCCATACTCTTAGGTAAGTTAATCATGTGATTTTTAAGTTAAGCAAATATAGAGATACATTATAGTGGTAATTTTTAATTAACAAAACATCAATTATTTCATTTGCAGACAAGAAATTTGCAGTAAAGGATACAATGACTTGTTTGTACTTCAGCAAAATCTTCCTTTAGAAGCATGGGTTCAATTTGTTCGTAAAAGCTGCCTTCATGAGTACACTTCTTTACCAATCCACACCTATGTTGTCTGAGCACCTTGCAGTGGTTTGATTTCTCCATGCTAATTTTAGTGGTTATGTTGAGAAAGGAAAGAGACTAATTATTTCTGAATGGGAATAGTATCTACTAGGGAGGAGACCAGGTCCCAATATTCGTGTTTTACACGAATCACTGAAATCTGTGCAAGTTGAAATGTGTTTTTGTGTGTCCTGTCATGGTCCCTCAATTACCTGCTGTTAGTACCCTTTACTGCTGACTACAAGTGTCCTTAGTCTTGGAGAGTCTCCATTGCTATAAATAGATTGGATACTGGTCCTTTTCAAACCCATCAGTGCTACTCCTTGTTTTGATTAGTATATGAGTGATGACACAGAGCACTAAAATCTGTGTTTAGAGCTTCCAGAGAAAAAGAGGCTGAGGGTCTTGTTACACATTACACTGTGAGCTGCTCAAATGTTGATCGGTGTTAGTGCTAGCTCGAGTTTTGAGCAGTCACATGTCTAGGGCAGCAGGGGCCTGGAGGACTGAAAGGTAAGAATCTGCCACCCTCACCACAGATTTCCCCCTGCCCCCTCTGCCTGCTAATGTCTGCCTGCACTCTCTCTCCTAGGGGAGCAGGCAGGGAAGGGTTAACTTTGCTGATGGTCCCCAGTGCTGCCAAACTGCTGGTCTTCACACTATGCCCAACCCAGAGAGCAGCCATGGCCATGGCTGCTCAAGTAGGTTAACCCTTCCCTACCTACTCCCCTGACCAGACAGTTCAAGCAGCCACAAGTGAGCAGGAGGGCAGTAGTGGGGCAGTGCGTAGGTATCGAGGTTACTGGGGAGGATGGGGAGCAGTGGGCCTGATCCAGGCCAGCATGAGACAATGGGTGGGTGGCGTGTTTATACTAAGGTATAGTTTAGAGTGGCTACAATTTAGTGTAACACAAGCTGAGTAACACAGATCAGAGATAATCCTGCCCTGGAGTGGTGTAACTTTGAGCTGCATAACGAGCGCTTAAAACCAGTTTCAGGTGTTACGGTGCAGACAGTCCAGGTGTTAAGAGCTCCAGGAATTACCCTGCCAAGAATTACAGTGTAACAAGGCTCTGAGAATGAAGCAGAAACATCCCTCCCCTCCGCTCCTTAGAAGAAGGAATGCTATGTATTGTTCTCTTGTGATCAACTGTGGCTGAGAAACTCCAAGTAGTTTTCAAGAAAGAGAAATCAAGCCAGAAATTCCACTGCATTACATGCCAATGTATTCTTGCTGTATGCTACATTTCCTACAGAAAGTCACAGCACTAAACCTGATGTGTATGTGCTGGGTCAGGAATGGAAGTCAAAACCATGAGCTCTTGGAACTAGTGAGCTAGTGGCCCATGTCATTGTAAAAGGGCACCACAAACTAAATGGGGCATTATGAGACAATGTTGACAGTTCTGCATCCATAATACTATATTAACTCAATGTTAAGATGAGGTCCCCCCTCCCAATTTAACAGGGAAGGAAAAGACCCTCATCTCAGAATGAATTGTGAGGGTGGTGGGGGAGGGCAGGCAGCTGCTGTGGCTTGGGCTCCAGTGCCTAAGTGGTCAGGACCAAAGCTGCCTGTCTCTGCCCCCACCCTTCACCACCTCTGCTTCCCACCATCACCCCCCTACAGCCCCTTCTCTCATCTTGGACCTCCTCTGCCCCAGGTAGCCTCTGCTCCCCTGCCCACCTCTCTTCCTCTCCAGCTTTACCCTTGCACCAAATTGACGGGCTCTGTACACACTGCAGCCTTGGGGCACTGGGCATGGCCCCAATCCAACCCGCACAGCTGCTGTGTGGGTGGGGCTGGGCTCAGTGCCCCAGGCTAGAATAGGGATGGAGCATGCAGGTGCAAAGCAGAGGCTGAGCAGGGAAGAGGGAAGCAGAGGCTGGGGACAGGAGGGGTTGGGGGGAAGCAGGAAGCAGAGGCTGGCGGGTTGTGGAGAAGAGGCCAGTGAGCAGAGGCCAGTGGGGCAGGAGCTGAGGCTGGAGGTGGGGGCAGGTAGTGGGCAGGGGCAAGTTGCTGACCTCCCAACAACACCTGCCTTCCCAGTGTGTGCCCCCATGTAGTGGTGGAAGGGAAGAATTAAAGGTGACCCTCTAATAATTACGTTCTATACCTGGAAAATTATAACAAATTTATATTTTTTTCATGTATAGAATCTAATTATTGGGGGGTTGCCTTAAATTCAGGCTTGTTAGATTCAAATAAATATGGTATATATCCACAGTTGCCAGATAGTTGTGCTGCTTTTATTGTTAAATTGTTAGCTTTCTGTTCATATACATAGATGGAAGAACCTTTGTTTCAAATAAAACACAAAGGTGGAAAAATTAAATAAAGGGCAGACAATGAGCATGGGTAAAATGATGAACTGCTGGTCCAGATATTTCGAGGGCACTATAAATTAATTACTTCTAAAAAGGCTCAGTGTTGGCTCAGATTAAAGAAAACCAAGCAGGGAAAAGAAAGTAAGAAGATATTAAAATTGGGAAATGTACTTTGGATGAATCATTATTTTCATGCTAATTTAATAGATGTTCCTTAACAAGTATGTTAAAGATGTGAGTGACATCATCAGAAGGAACCAAAATGAAGGAGTATTTAAGGCTCAAATAGTATCAAGCTGGTAAGATAATTTTAAAATTGATTGTTTGTATAATATACATTTAATCTAAATGCAAAAATATTAATTATTAATTTGATCGGCATGGAAGATAACCATGCACTGTCAGTGAGTCCAGCCAGTTCTTCAAGAGATGGGTGTTTATGAAATTAAATGCAGTTATTTAATCCCAAATTCTAATACCACTATCTGAAATTGTATATAAATATGTGGGTGTTTCCATATATGCTGAGAACTCTGGAAAAAATTCTAAATCCAAATTTGGAAGTAGTGAAAAATACCTATCCTTGAACTCAATTCCTTTTTAGCAATCAATTACTTCTTAGCAATTAATTATATTGTATACTTTAGAATACAATATCATTAATCTTGGCTATATTTGACATGGCATTTTTCTTCTTTTTTATTATTTTTTTAATATATGGAAGGTCTCTCTTTAAAAGGAGGCTGTTAATTGTGTGGGTGAAAATTGGCAGTTTGAGAGGCAGCATGTTCCACTATGTTGGATGTAAGATTAGGAAATAGGGTACATGGTACGTGGGAGACTGTGCTTTATTTGTACAAGGGACTGAGGATTAGACAGATCTAGAATAAGGCTACTGAACACGCTCAGAAGTGACTCAGATGTCTCACTACTACCTTAGTTCTGTTGCAGTTATATCAATGCCAGGAGACACCTAATCACCTCCCAAATTCTCAGTTCATTAGGTTGCGTTCAAAGCATGACTAGCAAATTTTTGATGCTGAGAGCATGCTTACAGTTTAATACAAAACACAGCTAGGGGCAGTATTAGTGCTGACCTTTTGCCTTTTAACTTAAAAGTTAGAACACTTACTCTGGGAAGTCAGACAAGATTCAAACCCACAACTCCCACTTGCCAAGGAAGTTAACCACCACACTTTACCCCTCCTGGTGAAGTTGACCCAGTGTGCGCCAGGAGTGCAAATTCATTGGGCCAGATGGAGGATTAGCAAGAGGGAGTGTGGTTCTTTATGCCAGTGGTTATGGCACTCCCTAGAGAGAGGGGGAGTCCTAAATTTTGTCCCTTGCTCCCAGAATTATTTCTGGGCTTTACCCAATGACTATTCAGTGTAAAACACATAAGCAGCCCTTGGAGTAGTGACCAGAACCAAGGATTCCCCTCTCTTAGATGAGGACCGTAACTTATCTGAGGCTATGATAAAAGATCATGGGCAGAAGAGCCTTCACCAGCTGCATGGCTGAAAATCAGCAGTTTGAGAGGCCGCCTGTTCCACTATTTTCCACACCTGCTTTCAAAAAGTGGCCTCTGCTCAGCTCTTTGAAAGAATGGAGAGGATTCTGAGCTCTTGATCCCAAGTGGACAGGGCCATCTTCCTGCTGCCCTGAACCAGCTGCTTGAACTTCAGACATATGCCCTGGTTAGTGTTGCCTGATGGTTAACTCAAGCCAGCATCCCACTTTGTATGCAAGTTTTTGGATTGTCCTTTTGAAGCACCTATCCCTCCCCAAGGCTTGTATAGGGAACTTAGACTTTCAACTGTACATTTGGAGTCCACATTGGGGAAGGTCTGTGTAGATGCAGTGCAGCACCGAATTTATAGGTACATTTTGTTTTATAGGACCTAGCCCTAAGAGAACCAGATGCTGTTGAAAACTTTACCGCAGGGATTTTGAGTTCTTAACTGTGCCAACTCTTTCACTGTGAGGTCAAAACCTCTCTTTTTGCTATCACTTTCCCTCACTGTCAAATGTGGATGGTATTTACTTACCTGACTGAAATATGGGGGAGGATTAGCTAAAGTATTTCAACGTTCTTACTGGTGTCACTGCAAAATTGCTATATAGTTGCACTTCTAGTGCTGAAGTAATGTTGTTAAGATGGTCTGGGAACTATGCAAGAAGCAATCATTTGCATGGGTCGCGTCTTTCATTGTACCAAATGCATGGTTGGCCTCGATGTAGACAAGCTTTCATTGACTTCATGGTTCACTATACTATACCTCATACTCACTTATCTCTGTACTTCATAGGTGATAACGACCCTCCAAAACTATCTTATTCTTCCATTTTCAGGGTTTTACTTCAACTCTCTTGTCTGTTGGTTACCTGGTAATTTCTCTTCTGTCCTCTTTTTATTTACCTATGGATTTTTACACAAGCTTTTCTTCCATCTGCTACTTAGTGTAGTGTTTGCTTCTCTCCTGGAGACCTGAAGGAGAGAACTCAAAAGCTTGTCTGCGTCTATCCCAACTATACATTATACATATATACATTATATACATATATACATTATAATCTGCCTGGCAACTGACTCCCCAGCCCAGCCTCTGGCTTGTTTACTTTTCATTCCATCCAGGAAGAGCACACACCAACTGCTGAAACTTCCTTAGCCTGACAAAGGGTTTTTGAACCCGAAAGCTTTCTTAATAACTATTCTCCAACCATTTGGGTTGGTCTAATAAAAGATATCAAATTCACCCAAGGAACCTTGTCTGCCTCTATCCCAACTATGCATTTGGTCCAGTAAAAGATATCACCAACAAGAAATCTTACCTCTTTGTCAATTGTATGATACAATTGACAAAGTAAGAACAAAATCCTGGTCACACTGAGTCCAAGGAAGGTTTATCATTGAGACCACAAATTCACATGGTGTATTCTTATTAAAAATGTAATTAGAAATAGTGGGTATTGAAAGCAGCTGAGAATTTGAAATTTGGCTTGCTTTGACTACTACTGTTGCCAATTTTTGACACATTCCAAATTAAGGCTTGTCTGCATAGGAATGTTTTACCAGATAAATCAGTCTAGTTAAACCAGTATAGTTACACTGTCATAACTCCCTATCTAGATACTCCTACTATGAAATAAGAGTTATAAATATACATGTATTTTCCGGTGTAACTTAAACTCCTTCCAAAATGACAAAACTAAACTAAAAGAGCATGCTTTTATACCAAAATAAGAATGTCTACCAAGAGAGTTATAATGCCTGTAGCTTGAATTCCTGTCTGAGCTTATACTGGTGTGACTTTCCTATGTAGACAAGCTCTTAAGGTAGAGCTGTGTAATTGATAGCTGGAAAATATTTACATTAATTGTGAAATAATACAGAGTCTGGAGATACCTGTGCATCCTCATAAGTGCTTGCTGAAGAGATAATATATACATTCCCCTTTGAAAATATTTCTGATCACAGACCTTAAAGATTCTGAGCACCTCCTGTAAGTATCTTCAAGGTCAGATACTCTTGGGAGGGGCTCCTTCTCGTGGTATATCCCTCCTCAGAATGATACATTCTGTAGGTTTCATATTGCCACATACTTTGTATAGGACTTCATCCCCTGTCAAGATTTCAAACCTGCTCTTTTAGATATCAATCAAAAGCACATTTTCTACTTTCTCCTCATTTACATTTATCTAATGCTTAAGGTCATTTGTGATCATTTGAGTGTATTTCAGCATATGGAATCAGTGAATAATAGATTTCAGCTCCATGCTGTGAAGGAAGATTGTGTTTTTACAAGACATGATGTTGTTTACTGGGTGTTAATAATCACTAATTAATAAACATCTCTAGACTTCTAGAATGTTGCATTTTAAGGGATAAAAATGTCAAGTGTTTAACTTATTGAGTGCAATAGTATTTTCTGGCTTATCTGTGCAAGTAAAGTAATTAAATTACAAAAAACAAATTCAATATTATACCAAAATACAGGGCACTTTCAATATACAAACTATTCTTTATTTTAGTTTACTTCTACATTCTTGAATCTTTTCTAGGCATAGCACCTGTTTTGTAATGTGTTGTATAACATCACAAATACTAATATGACACTCTACATCTCAAAGTTAATGGCCATTTTGCATTTCTTTCACATTAATTAAGGTCAGCTGCTTCTTTCAAATTTAATTCTAAACTCTGTTTAGGCACTTGCAAAGTAGTTGTGGGAAGGATCAGTCCTTCAGACTATGTAATGTTGTATTAAGGGGATCCTAACTGAAACATATTTGATCCCTTTTCAGAGCTACCAGGAAAAGTGAAAGAACAGGTGTAATGGCTGCAGTAGCATTATAACCACCCTGTTTCCCTTCCTTCACATTCAAGCATTAGTCACTTAATGCTAGTCTAGAAAAAAGGACCAGATATATTCTGCTATGTGGAACAGTGTTGAATTGACCCTGGGAACTGGATGTAATGAATTAACTGTACATTAAGCAGAGAATGCAGGTGCCTGAATGACAGACACAGGGATGGATTTAAGTGACCAGCTCCAACATGACTGCACACCAGAAAATACCATGTACCTTCTCCCCCACTCATGTGTGGTCATCTAGTTTCAATCAGTTACAGGTAACCATCATTATAAACAGTAACTCCAGGTATTTCCATATTGGCCCACCTCTAGGATTCAGCAGACTTCTGAATCCTCTCCCCCACAAGTGTGAGGGGCAAAGATTATACCATTGTAAACCAAACAGTCAGTTTGTTATATCATATATTATAATACAAATATATTCAGGTAAAAACTTACATCAAGGATGGCTGTTATGTTACAGTTCTATATTTGTAATGCCTACTAGCATACTGCAAATTCCTTATTGGTACTTATTTAAAGTAGGTAGTAATAATACCCCTAAGTTAATGAGGCCAGGATTCCAACTGCTTCAACTATCTGTTTTGGATTAGATGTTACCTTACCCAGCCTAGGCATGCCTTGCCCAGGAAGACAATTCAAATTGACCTGGTTAGACATCTAGGGTCCCCAAGATCCAGTAGAGACACTTTCCTAAGCTCAGATTTACGGTTCATGTTATGGTGCAAGGCTCTCTTTACAGACAAAGGGATAATGTGAGCACTTTCAGCAGGTGCCCTAAAAAGCCAAGATTCTGTGGATAGGTAGATGATGAGCAGATGCCAGGTATGCATTATTTCTGAATCACAGATACATAGAAGACCTTTGTACACCAGGAGCTATATGAAAAAGTGCCCACAAGAAGAAGTGGCTCCAAGAAAGGA